CTACAAATACTGCCAATCAGGTGCCAGAATGCAAAGCAGGTTATTAAATTTAGTGCCTCCCACTCTGCCAGCTGATGGGTGATACAGTGGTACCCCGCAAGACGAACGCCTCGCAAGACGGAAAACCCGCTAGACGAAAGGGTTTTCCGTTTTGGAGGCGCTTCGCAAAACGAATTTCCTATGGGCTTGCCGCAAGACGACAGCCCATAGGAAATCTCAGGGACAGCGGGAAGCGCAGCGCGTCTTCCCCACTGTCCTCGGACCTCCTCCGAAGCCTGGCGGCGGGGCGGGGACACCCTCCTCCCGCCGCCGCCGGGCTCGGAAGGCTCCTCCGGCCGGGCGGCGGGGAGGGAACACCTGCCGCCGCCGCCCGGCTCGGGAACGGTGCCCGGCCGGGCGGGGGAGGGAACACCTGCCGCCGCCGCCCGGCTCGGAACGGTGCTCCGAGCCGGGCGGGGGGAGGAAGACCTCCCGCCTCTGCCCGGCCCGGAGACGGTGCTCCGAAGCCGGGCGGTGGGGAGGAAGACCTCCCGCCGCCGCCCGGCCCGGGCGCGGTGCTCCGGGCCGGGCGGGGGGAGGGAAGACCTTCTGAAGGCGGGCGGGGGCGAAGTCTTTGCTCCCCTGCCTGCGCCTGTCCCGGAGGGCTTGTGAAGGCGGGGGGAGCAAAGACTGTCGCCCCCCGCCCGCCGTCAGACGAGGGCCAGGACCGCTGCTGAAGGGTGGCGGGGGCAAAAGTCTTGTCCCCCTGCCTGCCTTCCCAGGGGCTTAAATTGCCCCGGACAGCGGAGAAGTCCTCCGCTGTCCCGGGTGATTTTAAAATGCCGCCCGCCAGCATTTTAAGATCGCCCGGGCGGCGGTGATGTCCTCCGCTGTCCCGGGGTGTGTTAAAATGCTGGGGGTGGGAAGAAAGCCCTTGCCCCCAGCCTTCAGAAGAGGTCCGGGGACAGACTGTCCCCGGACCTGGTCTGAAGGCGGTTTCCTAGGAACGCATTAATTGATTTTCAATGCATTCCTATGGGAAACCGTGCATCGCAAGACGAAAAACTCGCAAGACGAAGAGACTTGCGGAACGAATTAATTTCGTCTTGCGAGGCACCACTGTACTCTGAGAATCTAACTGGGTTCTATATTGGGATACATGCTATTTTGCAAATCTACACATTGTTTTATTCACAGTTCATGCACCATTTTAATACTGTTTTTTCTTAGGTACAAAAACCATGTTCCCATCAATGTCCACATTAATCCTGGCAAATATGCAATCGAAAGTCGGTATGGGATGCACTCTCTGGAAATAAACAAGTAAGAGACTAGCAGTACAGCTTACTATTGTTCCTGCTGATTCAGAACTGGGTAATAATTGCCAGCATATATGTAATGTGTGTGTGTTGCTTATGAAGGTGCTGTTATAAAGCTACCAATATCAAAAAAGATGTATATGCTGAAACAGAAACTATTCTGGGGGGTTTTCAGCTGGATTGAGGCTCTTATTAACAAATCTGGACTAGATTTGATGGCCTTTACACTACTTGATTGATCCATTTTTTTCTACTACTGTATAATCAAAATTAATTCTCTGATCTAGTGTTGTTACCCCTATTGTATTTGAGCATGTAATTTCTTGTAGTTTAAATAGAACCACTAATTGCTGGACAATTTGCCCTCTAGAATCTGGCTATGGAAGGGGGACTGCAGTGTTATTTCTTCTGTGAGCTTGGATTGCTGTTTTGGCTGCAATTTATCCTCTTTTAAGTAACCTAATCATCCCTTCATGGGGTCTTTTAGATTTTGATTAAAAGAGTTTCTGAGCTTTCAAAATCAGAGTCTTTCTCACACTAAGGTCATCCTTCTTTTACGACTCCATATTGATTTAAAGCAAGATCCTGTGATTTCATAGCCTTTAATTGGGGAAGTTACAAAAGAGAAATTCCTTCACAGAGCGTGATTAATGAGCAACAGATCCTGTTGGTGTTGAGGCCTTCACAAATTCTGATTTCCCATGACTGCAGGGGTCTCAAGGAAACCTGCCGGTCCCGTTCAAGCTACATATTCTGGGATGCTGTTGCCTCAAGAACAAAACGTGTATATATTTATGGGATGTAATCCCAGAAAATGTGGGAGGAAGATCTGGAGTCAATGCTATCTTGACCTACTGGGACAATAACAAAACTATCAAAATCTTCTTGATCTGAGTCGATGGAAAGACATGGTGTGACTATCATATATGACATGATTCTCGCTTTTTTTTAATCCTGGAAAGGGATGGTGTTGTAATGACAAATTAGTAAAACTTTTTTCTTAGAAGTTAATAGGTGGAACAGTTTATGTTTTGAGTTTTATGGCATACAGCCTTGGATCCTGCTTGTGTGTGATTACTCGGTCTGACCAAATTCAATTACTCCCAGTAAGTATGCATAGAATTGCAACCTGAGTTTGTGAATTTGATCATAGATATAGTAACAGTTAAATCATGATACACATGCACCACCCTTTTCTCCCTTGAGATTAACAAACAAGTTGATTTGTCAACACTTGAATGGAAAATACTAAATTTATCTAAATAGGGTTTGTTATTTATCTTCCATTCAATATTTTTCTTTAGAGTATGACGTGTTTTTGTGTGGTAGATGGAGCATAGCTACAGATAGCAATTTTCAATTGGAAATATATGCTGGCTAATCCTTCTGAGTAATGAATTGTCACACTTTTGCATACTTCCAATGAAATCCAGTTTCAAATATGGGAAATAGCCTTTTCTGTCAGTGTTAAAACTACTGCTAAAATAAGTAGTGTAAGCTACCTTTAAAAATTATATCATGTGAAGTGAAATATTGTTTTTCCTCTATTTTCTTGAGATGTTATCTTGCCTCCCTCCTCTTTTTCCAAATGGAAACGTAGTTTTATTTATATAGGAAAAGTCTACAATCAACTAAGTAATCTTAAAATTGCTACAAAGGGTTATTGATGCATTTCACACTATTTACAGTGATGAAGAAAGACTATGTGATCCATGAAACTTTAAGTTTATCAATACAAGGGAAACTCATATTGATTCAAAAGGTAAATAATAAACAGTAACTTGGTTCACATGTAGTGCTAATCCATAAGTTCGCACTGGAAGACTGGGTCTAGGAAGAGCCTCAGCCTTGCATGCTTCCTTTTCCTTCCACACCTTATGTACTCCAGTTAATTAGTTTCTGGTTTTTAGAGAACCATAGCTCGTCATTGCATATGAACTGGAGAATTATGTTTTATGCTTGCCTGGCAAATCAGAATTGCAAACCAGGGGTGATTGAAAGCCAAGGAGTTCATCCAGACTTCTGTTTGTCCCACTACTTCCCCCCAGAAATGCCAATCGTTCTTGCTGAATTGGAGCAAATGTCAATTGCATCTTCCATGGATTGACATTTGCTCCGATTCGGTGCTAACGAGTGGGTTTTCCTGGAAAATGGCAGGGCAAACAGAAAACTGCTTGGACCCTTGCTTTTTAGGGCAAGTGGAAGTGTGGATGAGCCCAGGGTTTGCAATTCTGGTTTGCAATTTGATTTCATGGTACAGGATCAATGTAATGGTGAATTTTGGTTTGTCAAAAAAAGAATATAAACACAAGAAGTAATTTAAAACAACTTGGTGAAGAGATGCACAAGCCTAAGGCTCTTTCCAGGCTTATTCTAATAGTGCAAAATTATGATTTGGTGTTACATTTGAACCAAGCAACAAGTACCTTCAATGAGACTGAGAGAGTGAAACACAGAATAGCGTGATAATATTTTGGGGGGTTTCTTCAGCATAGTGTTAGTCATACAGTTATCCCATTTGTACCATATTGTCTGTTGCAGATTTCTGTGTGAACATTATTTATATTTCATAAAACGTGTACACCGCTTGACAGTAAAAAATATCAAAGTGGTTTACGAAAAGATAAAATAATTTTTTAAAAAAATCACAATCATAGTTTAAAATGTACAAAAGTTAAAATAATAAAACAGGTTAACATTACCTAAGTGTTTGAAGCTTCTGGGTAGGGTTAGCTCCTCCCCATTAGATAGATCCACACCATTCATTTGTAGCACATTCAATGCTACAACATGATTTCCCCCAAAGATTTCTGGGAACTGTAGCTTCACCCTCAAAGAACTACAATAGCCAGCACCCTTAACAAACTATAGTTTCCAGGATCGTGTGCTTTGAATGTATATTAAATGTATGGTGTGGATTTGCCCTTATTTGGTCATCTGCCTGTTATGATCCTAAAACTGTTTACCTAGATGCAGACTACTTCAGGTTTTGAACATGCTATGTAGTTTCTACAGAAGAAGGCATGGTTTAGGCATAAAAATACTGTCACACCATCATTCTTCATTTTTGAGATACTGTTTCATATTGTGTGCTAAACCTAAATTAGGAGGGAGAGATTTCCAAGCCAACAGACTGATATGTGGCATGACATTTTGCAAGCCGGACAAACACTGACAAGTTACCTGATCATTCCATTCAAGTTATCAGGGAATTTGTTGACATCCTTGTAAGATAAAAGTTGGTGAAGGCTAGGAAGAAGAGAAAAAGAAATATTAGAATGCTAGTCCATAGAGAGGACTGCAACCTATGTGCAGGTTGCACATTTATTTCTTGGAATATTGTATACAGTTTTGCTCACCTCGTCTCAAAAAGGACATTGTAGAGTTGAAAAGGGTTCAGAAAAAGGCAACAAAAGTGATGAAGGATATGGAGTGATTCCCCTATGAGGAAATGTTGCAGCATTTGGGACGTTTTTAGTTTTAGAGGAAATGCGAGCAAGAGGTGACATGATAGCTATTTATAAAATTATCCATAGATAGAGAAAGGTTTTTCTCCCTTTCTCGCAGCACTAACATCCATGCACATCTGATGAAGGGAACTGTTGGAAGAGTAAAAACAGATAAAAGAATATATAACTTAATTTGATGATGGGAACTTGGACTTGTATCCAACAAGGACTTCCACTTGTGCAACAGAACTTTTTTCTCCTTTCCCCCTGTATCCTCCCCAAATCTGCTGTGGAGGTTTGAGGGGAAATCCAAAACAGATTTGGGGAGCACACATGGTGAGGAAACAGAGGCGTTCTGTTGTGGAACTACCTATGTGAATTTGACAGCTTTATTGGATACAGCCCTAATGATTAGACTTGCCTCACACAACTGAATGAGTTTTTTTGATGAGCCAGATTTTATTAGTAAGAATAAATGAATGTAAGCTACTCCTATTTTATTTCATTTGGTTGATGTAAAGTGTGATTTGGATTTTTAATGACTTATTTCTTCCTGTTTTGAATAAATTGTGTGGTAAAGTAGTTGACTTCTGAGTCATCCCCCTTTTCTTCACAGAACTGAGGAGGTGAAAGCAGCTGGGTTACATTATCCCACAATGCCTGCCAAATAATCAAATTTTCCTTAAAAAAAATTAAAGTCTGTGGCAGTTATGAGCAAAGGGAATCCTTGTGCCAATGCTGTCCTCCCAACTGAAGGCTCAGTGTTGTGCCTGATCATATGCCCAAATAATGATTTCTTGCATAAATTGTTGGAGACACCTTAAGATCAAATTGCTACAGTTTGGAGTTAAAGGAGTTGTCCAGAATATTTTAACCATCTATCCCTAGTGTAAGCAATCTGGAATTTGGACATGGAATCTAACATAATGTCTCTCTCCCTTGCACACCCTTCTCTATTTCTTTCTCCTTCTCTAGAGTAAACCTGTACTGGCATATCAAAATGTTAGTATAGCACAATGTTGGTACATCCTGAATCTGTACCAGATTCTGATTGACCCATGGTGATTCATGAATTCCTGAGTTCCCAAGGAGAAATGATCTCCCTTGTTGGTATTGTTTTACAGCTTCAACCACATTTACAGGTTATGAGCTTTGCTGGATAAATGTTTCAGCATTTAACATTCAAATTCCCCTTCTTTTGAAGAAGGTTAAAATATCCATCTATTTCTATAGCATAATTATTAGCAATTATTTGAAATTGTGGTTCTCTCTTACCTTGGTTCTTAGGATGGTGGATCCTAATCCTACTCTGAATGTGGCATTAGAAAGTAATAATTAGCCTGACTAACTAGAACTTAGTACTTTAAGGACTTTAATAGACACTAACAGTGAGGCTAAATATGCCTTTCAGACCAAGATTGTCCTTCTGCCAGACATGGCTTTATTTACATGGGGAGGGTCATTTCAGTACTTTTATCATTGAAGCCGCAGAGCTTCTCCCAATACATATTTTATCCCTGGCAAGTTTATTCTGTCACCTTGGTCCTGTGCACATGACTTAATGTTGAAATTAATTATCCACATAACTTTTTTTAAACTCTGAAGAGTCTACATCCCAGAAAAAGTTATGGCTCTGCTGTAAGAGTTCATCAAGTATGTGCCCATTTATTGTGCTTATTTTAAAGCTAAGCTTGTAGGTACAGAAAGAAATTCACCAGTACAGCCCCTTCATTATTATTATTTGAGCATCTCTGCCAGCTCTCACTTGGCTCTGAAGTACCACCTGCAGCATCCCACCTGTGCCTAGGAGCCTTGCTTCCCTCTTTTGCTCTGCAGGCTCCCACACCTTCAAAATAACAAGAAACTACGGTACTCATGAGTGTCAGGAGCCCCTTTCAAAACGGTGTGCAATTTGACACAGGGGCTGCAACTGGGTGATGGGAATTGGTTGATAACACCACATTCACATGTGGAAGTATTCTCCCTGCACACATAGATGACAACTTGGGATCCAAGCTGCTGCTGTGATTTTTACCTTTGCTCTTTTCCATGCCCTAGTCTGATTTAAAGATCCACTCTCATCTCCAAACTTCACTTCACATTAAGTGCATCTGCTGTAAGGAATAGTAGCAGCCCACCTTCCATGAATTTCTTACTTTCTCATCTAATGTTCCTGGAGAATCTGATAAGATGCAGGCCTCCTCCCAAATAAAGCGCATGAGATTTCAGTTCCTAATACAATTGTTCAGGATTAAGAGTGGGGTTTGAGTGACTAGGGCATAAGACCCCATGGAAATGTTTTTTCTGGTGCGATGCAGCGCACACTGTCCTATTTCTTCATTGGCAAAAGACAACTCTGCCCCATAAACTGGACCAAATTGTTCCATGAAGAAAAAACAGGTCCACAAGAAACTGCTTTAGTGGAGAAATTTGTTCCTGAGAGCAAGTATTAAGAACCCGAGGTAAGGCTGAAATAACTAAAATACAAAACCCTTTAACAGCTGCTTTTCTCATTTCTCTTTCTGTTGAAACCCTTCAATAACGTTCCAGCACTCTCCCCTTTTACCAGCTCTCTTAACTACTTTGCTGTATTCCTATTACATTCCTGCTACCCTCCCACAGTTCTGAAACATTTTGGCTGATGCCTGACCCTCTACTAAATAGAAATTTTATATATTTGGGATGCACAAAAGTTGAATTCGGTCAATAAAGTGAAATTCTCTTCTAGTGGTAGGAATAGATTTGATACTTGCAAAGCCAGCATGGGTGAATGAGAAGAGTGCTTGTTTGCATGCATCTAGGGGTAAGAATGTGGTTGAAATGTTAGAAGGGGGAAAATGGGAGATATAAAGTGAATGTGAACATCCATATTGTTTGCTGGTGAGCATTAAGCAGGTAACTAGAAAAGGCACATGAGCTAATTCAGGATTAGTAACATTTGTATTCAGTTATATATTTCTGTTCCACATCTGCTTTTTAAAAACTCTCATAAAGCCTACTCATTATTTATCACTCAGAATTGAATTATACAATTACTTTGAAGTCATGAGAACTAGTAGTAACCTTTTTCCTTCTACATTAACATATTCTAGTTCAAGGATCATTCCTTTTAGATAGAGGACACCTTTATCAACACCGAGCAACATTTTGACTAGCAATGCTGGAGGATATTGCTCATTTTTTTAAAAAAACCCATAAATATAAAAATGTAACTCTTCTGTTGACAGCGACATTATTGCTAATCCTTCCATTCTTTTCAGATGTGATTTTGAAGACACTGCACAGTATCGTGCTTCTGCCATGAATGTAAAAGGAGAGCTTTCAGCCTATGCTTCCTTGGTGGTGAAGAGTAGGTTTGCCAAAAGTGAATTATTTGGATTTGCATTGCATCTTTTTACAATTCTCTCTAGTAGCTAGAATTTTTGCCCTTTTCTTTCCTAGGATACAAGGGAGAGTTTGATGAGAGTTGTTTCCATGCAGGAACTGTCACCCTACCCTTGAGCTGTAAGTTGTTAACTAATCATTGCTATATACTGTAAGAAATAGGGTTTTTTAAAGTATTTGAATTCTTTTGTGGCTTTACCACATGTCTGAGAGTTGATGGCATTCTTCAGCTTGTCAAGGAAGGGAAGGACACCCAGCTCTTCCAAGACAGGCAGAGTCTTGCTGCTGTCAATTGTTTTGTTATTGATAGTATGTTGCCCATTGCCTCATCTGCTTGCTGCAGTCTGTGACGATCTCTCCGGACAAGGTTTTCAGCAGTGCAGTTTTCCTGACTGTTGGTCCAAAGGCTGTCTTCATGCCTTTGTACATGTTGCGAGTTTTGAGTTGAATGCTCTGACACAGCTTCAGCCAGTAGTCATTGGCACATTGTCTGGCAATCCGGTGGGCATCGTTCCTTGTCTTTCTCAGTGCAGCAGGGCGCGTGCTTGTAGTTCACAAGAGCCTCACGCTTTACAGAAGCAACAGGTTTCATGTCTTTAATGCTGGCCTCAAACCATTCGGAGATCTGCTGCTCTCTTTTGCCAAAAGAGGACATAGTTGTGTTGTAGGTTGCCTCTTTGATGTAGTTCTACCTTGTTTTGATGCTGTCTTTGGGCAGTTCAGTAGTGCTTGTTTGATGGAATCAAAGAAGTATTCACAAAGTTCAGGTATGGTTGTTCTGGTGGTGTTGATTAGAGGCCACACTTTCTGCTTTGTGCTATGATCCTCTTTGGCTGGAGAATAAGCACATTTCTTCTTCTTCTTCTTCTTCTTCTTCTTCTTCTTCTTCTTCTTCTTCTCACAGTTGGTGTTACTCCACATGGCTATGCCTCCAAGTTTGAGATCCACTTTATAGATACATTTGAGGTTTCCTTTGGAAGAGAAGGTGAAACAATGAGTCTGGGCTGCTCAGTTATCATTCACCCTGATATTAAACGGTTCCAGCCAGAAATCCAGTGGTATAGGAATGGTAAGTATGCATGGCAAGGTGAAACTTGTTTGTTATTTCACTTAGGCTATGGTTGCACAGGAGGTTTCTGTGGCCCTGCTTTGTAGGGAAAGGATGGGAAGCATCCCATGAAAGGAACTAAAAAAGAGATATAGTGGAATCCTACACTTGGAGTACTCATTATATCACAGACAGTGCCGCCAACTCTGACTCCACAACACTACCATCAGTTTGGGGACACAGGTGGCACTGTGGTCTAAACCACTGAGCCTCTTGGGCTTGCCGATCAGAAAGTTGGCAGTTCGAATCTGCATGACAGAGTGAGCTCCCGTTACTCTGTCCGAGCCTCTGCCAGCCTAGCAGTTCAAAAGCACACCTGTGCAAGTAGATAAATAGGTACCACTGCGGCGGGAAAGTAAATGGTGTTTCCGTGCGCTCTGGCTTCCATCACAGTGTTCCGTTGCACCAGAAGTGATTTAGTCATGCTGTCCACATGACCCAGAAAGCTGTCTGTGGAGAAACGCCGGCTCCCTCGGCCTGAAGTGAGATGAGCGCCACAACCCAATAGATTCTGTTGTTGCATCTTTTTCAACTTGTAGGAGTCCTAATTTCTCCATCCAAATGGGTCCAGACGCATTGGAGTGGAGAAAGAGCTACGTTGACCCTGACTCATGCCAACAAAGAGGATGAAGGCCTTTACACCCTCCGTGTGGTGATGGGGGACTATTATGATCAGTACAGTGCTTACGTTTTTGTTCGAGGTAAGTTTTAGTGATGCCAAAGTGTGTTCGTGGTGCTGGTGGTAGTAGTAGTAGTAGTAGTAGTAGTAGTAGTAGTAGTAGTGATAGAGAGCATTTAATGACATGCATACACAGAATACCTTCATGTAATTAAGAATCCTTGGCATAAATCAGAA